TACTACCTACTTAATTGCCACCCATATGGGTTCCAGTCACAAAAAAACATAAAAAAAACCATCGAAAAAAAAATTATATTTCCAATTATCTTATGTGAGAGTTTCTAAACCAGAATTATTTTAAAGTCAATTTGGCGTCTTAGATGTTTCGCAATTGTCGAACCGAGGACGTAATAAAAATATATACATTTTTAATGCTTTACTTAAGTAGCTAATAGCAATAATATTACATTTTATTATCGTCGTTTTCGTACGCTACTACAGCGCGGTGGTATAATAATATTATAACGGTTGCCCGAACAACGCGTCGTAGTAATCAAAGTAGTAGTAGTTTAAAAGTATGACCGTTAAAAAAATAAATACACTGCGCAGTAAATAATGAAATAGACAACAACCCTCGGACGGGTATGCATATGCAATTTATAGGCAAACAACAATAATCTGCAGATATGTGTTTATACATTATAAGTTATAAGTGGTTACATATAGGTAGGTATAATATTATAAACGCATACCTATAATAATAATATATAAATCGCACGAGGCGTAGGTACTTATTATTACGCGTGATTGTCCTAAACCTATATTCTATAAAGCGTCAATGTTTAGAAGAAAAAACTAATAATAATAATAATAATAATAAATTGCAATTTAATACGATTTCTTTGTAGATGTACGCGCCGACGCCCGACACAATGAATATACGGCGTATAACAATTTTATAGTATATAAGTATATATATATTATTTTCTGGATGCGATTCCTTCATAATTATTGTTTCTCGAGTGTTACGGTCACCGACAGAATGCCATTTGCCGACAAATACGGTGCACATTATAAGGCAGGCAGCATGTGCGGTGTCTTTTATAAAGTATATATATATGGTTTTGCAGTTAATTAAGGTACTGTCCAGATAATTCATCGGTAGCAAGGTTATATATTATTATTTTTTTTTTCCTTTGGTGCGATACTATAATATATATTATGACGCCAAAAATACAAAAAAAAATCTTATACAAAATCAATTTTAGACGCATTGCCGTTTTAAATGAGACTATTTTCTCATTAAAAAAAAATATATATGTATGTATATACATACAAGAAATAACAAAATGGTTAATATGTGCTGACGATACTTATATTTTTCATAATACCAATCGGTTCCTATAGCTTTAATAATTGTATGACGGTTCTTGCAAAACGATACGCAATCTTATTGGATACCTATTGGTATAATGTATATTATACCTTCTCATATTATTTTTCATCATTTTTACTAGTATTTTAYTATCTAATATATGTATATAAATATATATAATGTAGGCACATTATATGTATATAATATGCGATAACTACAAAAATGCGAAGGAAACTACCGATTTTGTCACACTTTGTTTTATATCGTTCCCGTTGCACGTTAATGTCATCATTATTACTTATTATCGGAGTTAAACGAATCTGAGGGGCCACTTTAAGATTCCTTTATAAGGAAGCATAATATTACGTACGATGGTCTCTGAGGTAAAAAAAAATAATATAACATACTATACATATATACAATGTATGTATGTATATGTGGATTCTGTATATACCTATATAGTATATAATATACTCGTATATTATAATTCTTCGTCCGTGTTCCTCAATTTCGTGGTCTAGTTAATAGTAATTCGAAGGATCGTTGGATGATTAAGTTGTATGCATAATTTATTACAACACATGCGGTAGTGCTGTAGATTATAATATATTATACCGTCAACAAAAACAAACACCGCGCCGAGGACAGTCACGGAGGCGAACAAAAACCCACAATTCGATTTGAATTCGCAAGATAATCTGCCAACGATTTGAAAACGAAAGACCCCATTGTATCTGCTGTACGCTGACTTTTGTTGGCTGGTCGTGGCTTCCGGCAGTCTTATGATCGATCCAACTCAAACACTTCACCCCTTCGCCGGTTCTAAAAAATGCCTTTGCTTGAAATGTATATATATATATATATTTATATACGAAGACAAAGGAATAAACAGCGTTCGCTGAAATCCGGTAGGATTGGCGAATAATATGATGAATTGATGAATATATTTTTCACACTCATTATATTCGTCGTTTGTTCTAATGCACAATTGAATAATATATCATTTCAATTGTTTAAATTTACAATCCGACATAACAACAATTATAAAAGAAAAAATTATAATTAAAAAAAAAATATGTAATGACACAAAAAATTACGATAGTAATTACCATATTATATAACTATTGTCTTGTTAATAATTTTGTATTCAATAATTATTATTAAGGTTCATAGTTTATCTGCACATACATACCTATTTATTTTTTCTAATATACTTAACTTCGAACRCCACATAATTAATATCTATAGGTCTCCAAAATGTTAAATTTCGTCGAATTAGATCTGATTAATATAAATCAATAATTGGCACGTAAATCATAAGATTTACAGGTACGATTTGTTGATGAGATAACAAAATATTAAAGTTATCACCTATATAAATATGGTTTGTTATAGCTCAATATAGCTCATGGCCAACTCGTTAATTCAAATTAATAAATTATGTACGAGTAAATAACAACTAATATAATGTTCCAAATCGATTTGTGTAGACTTTGTAAAGATACTTGTATGTTTTTGTTTGCTAAATATTTTGTTGGATCGCATATCCTGAAGTCTTGTTCCGTTATTTGGTAATTACTAATTTTTATGTACTGAATGTGTCAATGTAGAGTAACACATTAATTGTCGATTCATTAATTGCCAATTGAAGTGCAATAAAAATCAAAACGAAACGTCATCAACATAGAAACATTATTTTATAAATTTTTATAACATTTATATAGGTATTAAATTGTAAGCTCAGGGAAAAGAACTATATCTACTTCTACAATTAAACACCGGAAACTAAAATATGTCAACCGAATCGGAATTTCCGGAAAATCTCATTTGACAACTTTTAAATGAATTCAACTATAACGGAGACGCTAATGTAGATAATCAATAGACTATACCCTAAAAATGCGTTTTTTAGCATTATCATATATGTGTATATATGATTAGATTTATAAAGCAATATCATCTTAAAGAACTTCCTTCGCTGTTTTCCAACAACTCACCTGTCAAATCAACTTGTCAATAGGGGTTAAACCAAATTCCGTTACGAACTTTATCGAACCATGCTAAAAAAATAATCTGAATCTGAACTTGACTAAACTTGAAAATAATCCGATCAGATGTTTCTGATCGAAAATTAAAATCCCCTCAAATCGCTACAAGTATATTTACCGGCTGCGTATATATACTTGACTTAACCTAATCCCATTTGTGTATGTTTTATGGGAAATTTTTTGCTGCAACGACGACGGCAATCGGTATGGTTGTGGGCGGGGAATCGTTTGATCACGGCCGCTGCACGGAATCCGCATCGGACGGAAGTTTGATCTGTAATTTTTTTCTTCTCGACGACATGGCGGGCAGACGGCACAGATAGCTGATGAATACGATTGAAGCGATGCTCGTGCTTTAAGCCTTTATCGTACCTATGGAAAGTCTTCCATCGACGGACTCGAAAAAACACAATATTTATTATGATATAATATAAAATATGATATTACAATTATTTAAATATTTATCTATAATATGTTACGCGTATTTATATAGCGTTCACGTTTTAATTTTCATACATTCTGGTCCGCAAATACATATTTTGCCAATAATATATTAAAATAATATAATGCCTATATGCGGGACGGGTATTCCGGGTGTTCTGTACGACATTTTCACACCGACTTTAACCGCAACCGACATCGATAAACGCAAAAGACAAGAAAAAATATTCAAGGGCGACGTAGCTGTAGGCCGGCCGCCTCGTAAGTAGAGTACCTATATATACCTACTGCAGAACAACGCATTATACGGAACGGGCTGGGCATATTGTTATATTATGTCACGACGTTCGGCTTATATTATCGTATATACATCGTATGCACGTGCGTAATAAATTGTTATTCGCTGCGATATTCCAGATAATGGGAACAATAATAACGCAATAATATCGACTACCATCAGCCACCGTTCAGCCGCCATATATAATATATATTATTATGATCTGCAGTGGCGTAACTATATATAATAGGAAGTAGGAGGGATCAAAGGGGAATACAGCGGCACCCAAGTTCCAAACACTTATACAAGGGACCCGTTATTGATATAATATTATTTGTTGATTTTTTCGTCTTGTATTCCGATCAAAAATACTACCGCGTTTCTAAATATTATGCCACCTATATTTTTCAAAGTTCAAAACATTTCAGCACATAACATTACTTTATTTTACTATATACGAACTGAAGGGAAAACGAACTGTTCACTCCGATTTCTTTCATTGTGCAAATCACCTAATGCTCGAGTCTAAAATTTTCACCCCCAGGCCAGAACACTGAAGTTAKACATTCGAGTATGTGTGTAGAATAATATGATAATGATAAGAACTACAGCGCAGAGCTCTACACGCGGGCGGCAGAGTGTCGTGGTGCGGCGGCGGTGGTTCTCTCGAGGGGTTCGTGAGTTTTGATGGCTTAGCCGCTTAAGGTCCTTCCCCTTCGTCCACCGCCCCCACATCCGATCGCGTGGGGTCCGGATGCTGCGCCGCCGGAGAGTCGTAATAATGTATTATATCACAGACGACGGGGGCCGACGACCGCCGACGACAACGCGCTCATCCCGTCGTGGCAACACTGCCGGGCGACGGGCTTGCTTAGCCCCCCCGAAGAACGTGCGTTTTTTCCGTACAGCTTCGACGGCGTACTGGTAAGTGGTAACGACGACGGCGACGACGAGCCCAGGAGAAAGGCGTCGGCGGCGGCCGTCGTGCGCCGTCGTCGTCGTCGTCGTCGTCGTCGTTGCGAGGCAGCTGCTGCCGCTGCACCGACCGCCCGCCCGTCCGTCCGTCCATCTGTCCGCCGCCGCCGCCGCGATTGTGTTGTTGTCGGTAGCCGCCGCCGTCGTACTCTCTCGCGAGCGCCTCGCGCATTACCGCTACGGTACGCTCGACGATCAGTTCAGTCAGCTCGGCCGTACAAGCTCGTCGTCGTCTTCGTCTTCGTTGTCGCACTCGTCATCGTCGTCGTAGTCGTCGTCGACCGGTGTTTTGAATTTTGCCTCTGCTCGCTGAAATCCAATCGAAYTTTTTAATTTTTTTTCTCATGGGATTAACAACGTGAAATTTATTCCACATGCGTTTTCCGTCGTATTTTTCGATAACGTAATATTATCCACACGGTATATACCATAATAACCGCTTTCGGCACCGTTATTACATAATATTTTCCGAGAGGAAGCTGTGAAGCACATCGAGGATCACGCGACCAGAGATATTGGCCTCTTGGTGGGCATATTCCGTTTGACTACGGTAAGGCGACTAGCTTCACTGCTATCATTATCATTACAAGAAAGCTATAATTTTTTAGTTATTCGTAGCTAACAATATTGAATGTGGTTGACAAAAACTTACCTAATCTTACATGTATATATCTAGATTTTAAACATTATAATTATATGTAATACTGTGTTGATGCGATTATTATTCAATTCAATAATACGATTCGGAAAATAATAAAACCATAAAAATATTATTTATAAGTTTTCTGGACATATATTTTTTTTAATTTACTTAATTTGTAAAAATATGAGATTGGTTTTCCTTGAATATTTTGATGAAATTTCGAGTCATTTTAAATCGAGTATTAAAGTATATACGTTTTAATATACTTCAAAATAATATACTTGCAAAAGAGCATCCACAATATCCATACATAAATATTATGAATTTATTTAAAATAAACATGTTGGTATTTCGCAATTAAAAGTAATTACAGCATTTCGAAGGAATTTTTAAAATAGTAATAACACAAAAAATATTTAGATGACAACCTACCTACTGACTTTGGTCATTTTTGAATCAATGTTCATGTTCCGGAAAAATAAAATTTGATCRAATAAAAATCTATTCCTATTGTGAAGAAAAAAAATTAAAACGTTGTCTTAACTTTTAATCGTTCAAAATAGTTTTCCGGAAATAAGATTTGATAAATCATTTATGTTATTGATAGTTAACCAATAAATTAAATACAATAATTTAATTAAAAAAATATTCTAAGCATGAATAATTTTTTTCAAAAATATAATATTTTTAAAATCTCGGTTGCAAAATATAATTAAAATAATAAWTGGTTTTACTTCTTCTATAAGATAGATTTTAAAACAAAATTAATGTGATTAAAATTTAAAACATCACTGAAACATGTTTTTGCACATAAAGCAATAGTGTAGAACTGTTATTTTAATTATATGAAATTTAAGTATTGATGTTTGTAGTATAATACTCAAAACAGTTATATGAAAGAATGCTCTGAAAAATATGAATATTGTTTTATTTTGTTTAAAGGCGAAGTCCAAAAACCTTTTCTCTGTTAAATCCAAAAAATATATACGTATTCTAATAAATTGCTTTGAAAATACAAATACCTATTTCATAATTTTTAGGTACCTATCTAGTATTTACTATCTAACATTCCAAATTTGTTACGAAATTAAATAACACCCAAGTACAATACAAATAAGTTATTCTTTGTATTTATAGCTAAAGAAACTTTTATTTTCTAACTTTATTATTACAAGTTAGATTTAACACTATTATAGATATAAATTGAATTAGTTAATTCTAAACAGTTTTCCGTTAACAAATACTTGATTAATAATATTTACAAAATGTGTTACGAACTTCAWCGGCTTTCATCAAATCTCGTTTTTCTAATAAATACATAGACATTTATCACTATTAATTAAACGTTCTGTATTTTCCACGTTGGATCATATATTTTGTAATCAATTAAAATTCGATCGTTTTCAGTTCAATGTCATGTTTAGTAGGAGTATTTTTATTTTTTGCATTGTTCTTGTACATATTGTATTTCCTGATTGTCACGATTTATTGCGTCAACGGTATTTTATATATTTGTTTTATTATCGCCAACACTAGCACAAAATGTATTTATTTTATTTCATGAGTAAAAATATATATATATTTTTTTTATTGTATAGGAACCTAGTATAAAACCATTGCATATATTTTTTTTGGCTAAACCGATTTTAGTATTTTACTGAACTATCTGTGAGAACGAACGAAAAATTGGGTATCTATGTCCCGGGGATGCGTAAAATGCATATAAACTGCGAATATAGAGGTTTACCTACCCGTATTTTTTTTAAACTTTTTTTTTACTTATTTTTATTATTTTTTTTTATTTATTGAAAACGTTCTGAAAGAATTTTACGAAACCTATTTCTTTCGAAAAATCGTTTCCTTTTCCAGTCATAGTCTTCAGTAATAATATATTTTGTTTAATCTATATACAATTCATGTAGCCTTATATAACAACTAGAAGATGATGCTTTCTGATTATGGAACTTCAAATATTATAGTTTTGTGGTTATCTGAAATTGACTCCACATAATAATAATATTCTCGTGCATAATATATAATATTATATACACTACTTGTAGTAAGCATAACGTTTTTTTCGATCTATTCACAGTCATTAAGTTCCTAGCGTTCGATCCAGTGTGTGAAATTATGAGATGATATGGAAGTTGAGAGGCGAGTTMTCTTTAGTTCTCGTCACGTTCGAWGTCTTGGAAATCCGGTTATAATACGGGCGATTGACCACAAATTGTAACTAAAAAAAATATGCATACCTATCCAATTAAAAATTAAATTAAAAACATATAGGAACACATTAACGAAAAAAAAATAACGATAGGTAGTATTTTATGATTATTATTATGTAGGTACTTGTTTCTTATTGTTATTATTATTACTGTTGTTGTCTTTAATTTTGGTCGTATATGATACTAAATGGATTATATTCGTCGACAAGTAGATGTCATGAAAAATTCCCTATAACACTTAGGTGTGTTCCCTGGGACTGTATACGTATATAAAGCTAAAACGATATTAATAAACAAAACAAAAAGCACGTATACAGCTATCAGCTGGGAATACGCTAGAGACAGAGTCATTAATGCTATATAGGTTGGGTAGGTATCAAACTATATTTTCTACAACGGTCGTAACATATTAGGTTTTGTTATGTGTATGCCACAGTGGACTTTAGAATATAGCTCATAATATAGTGACYCAGATCCCATGAGGAACAACATGCAGTACTGTTTAATATACGAGTATAGAAGGAATTCGTTAGACTTTAAATACCTTTTTGTGAGATATACTTTGTTGCGAAATGCGCATGAACTATTTTTTCGAAAAACCAATATAGTGTCGATGTGTACAACTTCGGCTCAACACAGTGATCTCAAGGGCATTCTTAGGTAATATAATATCTGTATAAGCTATAATATAGTATATTATACCTACAGTATTACTGACGATATTATTGTTGTGCTATTAGYACCTATATGATAGCATCGAATTAGCAAACCAATGAACTATCTAATTTCCATTAAAATTGATATGACTTTTGCTTATACATGTTTACTATAATCCATTAGGTATACCTACACCGGTGAATAGACTTTTTTTAAATGAATATATATATATATAAGTAATAAGTATAATACTAGTTGTATTTATTATTATTATCATTACTACTGTTTAATCATACCTATCTACAATATTTAAGTATTAAAATTAAATCATTATATGTTATTCTGCAAACCAGTTAGATTTTTGTAAATAAATGACGTTTTTTTGTATTTTTAAAACAGTTTCCGTTCCAAAAACCGACGTTGTAAAGTATAACAGAGTTGACGTATTATCTTTCATTAGGGTGCAATGAAATTATTCAATTTGTATATACAGCAAGAGCAAGTTCAATATTAAACATAATCTGAGAAATTAATTACATCGATATTCGGTTTATGATTATAGCCAGTATATTATAATACATTAATACTGTCATTCCCAACATCACAAACTCGTAATTTAATAACATTTTGGTTATCGAGTCATTTCCATCTGACAGATACAATTACCGTATACATACGCAAGTTTCCTATTATTCAGTAATTCAATGCTATAACATAATAAATCAAATTGTTTCAAGTAACATATATCGATATCGTTAAACATAGGCTAAGCTGTTGAATGCTAATAATATTTGCATATAAATATGTATAGCTTCGTTAAAAAAAAAACTTTTTTATGATTATTATCATTCATTGTATCTTATTTAATACCTAGTTGTTAATTACTTTTAAAATTATGATCTTTTGTGCTTTTTTAGAAAAAAATTAACCTAAGATGTATATTTTTTCATCTTTTCTAGATTGACGGAAAGTTGTAGTTTTTATCTACCTATTAGAGATTACAAGTTTACCAAACAATATATGTATATATCATATATTATGCATAGTAAATTGCTCGTCACTTAAACTTGTTCATATCGAAACTTTGAACTTTCCCTTCCACGCATTCAAAACTAAATTATTCTTGATGTATAAAAACAATACTTCCTACACTCAAAAATATATGTTTTGCTCTGTATTTGACAGACGATATATATAATTAGTATACTCAATGTCAGTAGTTTTTGAGGTTATTATAAGCATACCAATTACGTTAAAACCTAAGTATTTTTTATGTTTGTGGTTGTATAATATTTTATTATGTCACGAATTTTTTAGTTTMAAAAATATAATAATAATAATCGCTACAGTAAACACTATTAATTGCACATTCAACAATGGCCGCGCATTCCATATTAAAATAACAACGTATGTATATATACTTAAAAGTAAAGATTCTAAGTTTTGATTAAAGTCATGATTCAACTTATTTCTATATGTAAATATTTATAAATAAAAACGTGATATTTACAAAATATGGTACAAAACTTGGTATCCCTTCGTGTTTTTAGGGGTAGCTAACTTTATATTACCCTCATTGATTTTTTTTTTCATTATTTCATTCTTTATTTTGAAAAATATTCATTGAAAGTAACCTCGTAGCTTTTGGGTGACGTTTTGCGTACTGGTATTAATGGAGCATGGCAGATCGAATAGCAAAGAGCATATACAATTCACCCGCGACATAATATCCAATAGAATCATGTGTTCAGTGTCCGGAATAGGGGTTTGCTGAAAATCTTAGTCTGCTGTGCCACGCTCCCACTACCGCATAGTATCCAATGGCAACGTGAAATATAAATTATGTCTGTTGCGTGTAATGAAATGCGGGTGTTCTAGAAAATTTTCGAGGACGTCCGAAATCCACCATTTACACCCCCCTTGGCGTGAAAATATAGAAAGAATAATTAAAACTCATTAATTGTAYAACAAAAAAATGTGATGTATTATTAAACATTTTAAAAAGGAACATCACATGTTATATTA